AAAACCGATTCCCCATCCTGTAAGTGTACAACCCTCCCCGAAAAAACTCCCTTCAACCTGTTGAAAGATGGCAACCTTGCACACACACATAAAAACATCTATCATCGAGGACCTGTGGCTCTCTGGAGGGGGGGGGTTTGTTTCTCAAGGCTCTCTGTGAGGCTCCTGCTGTGCAGCAGGAGGACTCAGAGGAAGAAGTTAGATGAAAAGAACAGAAGCCCATCAGGAGTTCTCGCACCTCGCAGAGCTTTTCCAGAGCATGAGGCGGCTATTCCTGTCTTCTTAGAGCTCGCTGAATACAATCTCTACACTGAAAACTGCACATACAGTATTTCACTCCCCTTGTTCCCTGCAATGCCCAAGTACACACACGTATAGACGTTCACATTTCATCAGCCCAGCCTCAGCATTCATAGAGGGGATCAGATCTGTTCTTCTAGCCTCTCAGAAGCTACTCGGGGTGGTAGAGATGTGCGAGTTAGAGCACAGAGTTGCGTCTGGGGAAGCTTCACACCACATTTCCTCTATCTCCACTATTCTCTGTATCCCTGCGTCTCTCTCTTTCTGCTGTCTGGATTGCAGGAGTGACAGCAGAGGGATTTATGAGAGTAGAAAGGACATCTGTGGCGTCAAGTTTACAGAGCTCCGTCTGAAAGAGGAGACCGCATCAAACAAAAATTGAACAACTGTGGCGAATGCTCCCCCGCCCCCTTCACTTCCTCTCCTTCTTTTTTGTTCCCTGACTGTTCCTTTATCTCCGTTGAGGTTCAAGCTACAGGGCAACACATTTATCATCAGCAGGCTTAAGACCTTGTGCTTTAACTAGCTGCCATGTAAATACAAAGGACTGCGTCGGCTTCATGGCCCCCCCCACCATACCCCTTTAGGCCCCTTTCCAAACCGCCGCAATTAGAATTAGATCAGACCACGGCCGTAAATTTGCCAACAAATTTTCTTTCCCGCACAAAGCTCCTCACAACTTTACATAAAAGACAAAGTCGGCGCTGTGGTGATCGTCACCGACTCCAACGTGACGCCACAACAAGGAATCTCCATTCGCCTCATTGATGTTTCAGTGGCCCTCATTTACTGAGTGATTGCATCCCGCTGTTCCTCCAGTCAAAACACCGCCTTTCTTCTAGAAATATTTTCACAGCACCATAATTGCTTCCATCTGTAGCTACACTGTGGCAACACAAGCTCAGTGTCAATACGTCTGAGCAGGTTCACAGCTGAACGGGTGGCGAGTGCGTGCGTGCGAGTGTGATTGTCCCTATAAGCGTCTGCATGAACGTGTTCGCTGGGAAGTCTACTTTTCTCAACGTGGTGGAAACAGAGATTTGAGAAAAAAGTGTTGATTTTGAACAATGAAGGAATGTGACGGAGCAAGACTTGTTTTTTGTAGCAAGACACACACATTGCCTCATACTCCTATTTGATGGCTGGTTTAACAGAGTTGACTTTCGTTTTTCTTGTGCAAACACAATTTGGCTCTTTCCCCTAAAAGGCCTGCAAACAGCAAAATGAAATGGGCTGCGGGGAGATGCATGGTCCCAACAAAATGATTTGAATGTAAGAATATCTTTCCTTTAGCGTTAGGAGACCCTCGTGGAGAATTAAAAGAGAGAAGTTGGAGGTTTGACAGAGCATTTAGCCCACGTTTACCCTGTAAGTGATCTGCCTGTCAGCGAAGGTCACGACCTGGAAAAACTGAAAGTCGGCCAATCGACACATTGCGGTAACCTGCCGTAAGTGGACCCGACAATCTATACCGTCTGTCGACGCCTGAACCAAATCTGAGTCATTACGCTGTTTACAGAAATGGTTTATATTACCTGTCACAAGCACACACACACACACACACACACACACACACACACACACACACACACACACACACACACACTACTACTACTATAGTATATA